TATTCAAAATTGATTGATATTTTTGTCTTTAAAATCACAAGATGAGTTTGTATTTAAGTAATCTTTTAAAACATTTTCACGTTGTTATTTGATCGTAATATAAATATTTTGAATATTTTATTTTATTTGTTGATTTAAAGTTAACAAATTTGGTTATGTAAAACTCTTATACATGAAAAAAATTTATTGTTTTGCTAATGTATAGAAGTTCAAATTTTGTAGGTCGCCTCAGACCTTGCTAAACACAGGTATGGCCCTAAAAACGTTCCCTAATTAATTAATTCAACTTTGAAACGGAGTGCTAAATAACTAAAGTTTGAAGGGGATGAAGGTCTAACCTAGTTAGTTAATTAAAATGCCAAGTCGAAGTTTGAATGTTTTAACCTTCATTCATGCAGGGACCATCTTCACATAGATCCAATAGGGTAGGGACCACATTCTCTTAAAATGCACATCATTACCAAACCAGAATTGTGAATTGTTTGTTAGTCAAAGAACTTCCCAATTTTCTTCTTTAAATGAGGAACTAAATGCCGTGGATTTATATGAACATTGGCATGTTATTTTGACAATATTGCCAATTACAAGCAGTACACATTACGCATGATAACTGTGATTTGATCTTTGATCTGATCATGGTCTCACATCGTCGGAATACTGACTCGACTAGTGAACGATTATGAGTCTTTGCATTGAGACAAAAATAAATGTGCTGTTATTTGTGTCGATTGTCTTTAATCAAACTCAACCCACGAGTCGATTCGGTCTGAATTGCCCTCGATATTGCAACAGTAATTTTTAAGGCTTTTAAAAAAAGATTAACTTTATGAAAAGGTTAACATCGAGGTCCCAAATTAATTTTATGACGTGCTCTAGAGGGTTAATTTTTTTCTTGTACAGTTCGAAAAGGATTATATCAAAAAAAATTTATTTAGACATAGTTGATCATGAACCAAGAGGTCTATTTTTTAAGGTTGACGTTATACCGTAGTTGAGTATTCATTACCGTAAAAAAAAATAGATTAATAAATTTACGAATAAATGACGTGATGCCAACCTTTCGACATATTCCCGATTAATTAGGAAAAAAGAGAAAAGTGCAACTATAATTCAATATTGAAACAAAGCGTGCCATAGCTAAGTGAGTCATAATTTCAAATCATGACTATAAAAAGCCACTTGTTTTTCCACCACCTTCGTCGTCACTATCAAGGAGCTATTTTCAGCACTCCTTTTACTGTTTTATTTCTTGACTATTGTCTGGAATTTTACATTTTTGTAACATGAATAACACGTGAGAAGTGCGATATGTAATAATTAGCACTATTGAGGGGGCAAGCCACTCATCGGTTTATCGACTCGCCATACAAGCAAAATATGTAATTAAGTTAAAATTAAATAAAATAAAATTGTGCAAGCTCGACCAAGAGGTGAACTCGTGAGTCAAGCAAGCCACATTTTAGTTGAACGAGCGCGACTCGACCCGACTCGACGCAACCTTGACCAATTCAACATCCATAGAAATAGTGAATAAACATCTCATAATAAAAGCCTCATAATAAATTAATCAAAACTTTGGAGTATTTACAAGTTCTTTCATAAACGGTTCAAAATCAAGAATTTGAAGTTTTGCAAGATGTTGAAGTGTAAACAAGATTCGAGGAAAGAAAAGAGTTTAAAATTTATATCTCATTGCCATCCGAAAAATACTCATCTACTTTTATAGATTTGAAATCCATAATGAAAAATTCACTTTTAAGCTATTTTTAACTGTGCACTAGCCACAAGTACATTATTACTAAATTTATTACTTATAAGTTAAAATGTATTTGTGGAATATATATGCTCTTGAAAATAAGCAATGCTAAGTGGTATTTTAGGTGGTAGTGGAATACATTATTTCATTATTCAATAAAATCGTGAATATGGGTGGCAATAGGTCAAAGACACTCGCTTGCTCGATGAATTGGCTTGATTTGTTTCAGCACGAGTCCATGTGCCAAGGTGACCTCGAAATTCAGCCAAACAAGTCAAGCTCAGCAAGTTCATAAAACGTGATTGCTCATAAATCTGCCATATTTTTCCTTTGTCTTATATAACAACGTTAAATTTTTCTTTTTATCTCAGATATTATTTTTTCTATATATGATTTTTAAAAAATCATATAAAAAATGATACGACTTGTGGGCCAATTAAGATAGTCACGTGTAGGGCCGAAAGGCCGAACAAAGCCAAGGTGTCATTCTAGAGGGTGAATTGACTTGGATAGTGAAATAATGAACCTTACATGCGGTAACTTGTTAATTGAGATATTAACTTATTATTTGAGGCAACGAAATTATACAAAATTAAGGATAATTAATGCAGTCATTGACATGAATAACTTTGCTCTTCTCAAAAATAGTAAGGAACAAATACGTTAGGACTTGACCTACTATCACTCATAATTAGGAAGTGTACAAGTTTTGCTGAAGATTATATTTTCATTCGACAACATCTCTTGTTAGGAATCAATCCTCCAATCAGAAATATGATTTGTTTGTTTTTAAATGAACTTCCCCTTTAAATGTGACACAACATGCCATTAAATTATGTGAATACTAGCACGTAATGTTGGACAGTACTATACATCTATATTGGTATTTTCAAGTCTATATGCAATATACGATACACGGCTATCTTTTTCAATCCAATCTAAGTACTAAAATATGTGTAGTTTGCCTTAAATAGTTTGATGCATTAAGTAGATACATCTTTATTGTGTAGAGATCTTATGTTGGAGCCTCGTTCCGTGCAATTTGCCCCAGATTTTTACGAAAATTGTTCAGATTCGAGGTTATATTAATCTCACTAACTTGCTTAAATTTTGCTCGGGGCAGGGTAAACCCATCAATTGATGTCGCGATTTTGCTAGGTGTACATCGGAATGTACCTAATGGTGTACACCCCACTTATATGGGCGAGGGACTCACTCGAATAAAATATCATTTCTTTTACATGGGTCTCACACCCATGTAAGTGGGGTGTACATCATTCGATACACCCCATTATGTACCACTAGGCAAATTCTTGATGTCGCATACACCTATTGATATATCTGTACATAGATTTTTTTTTAAATAGGTCCAATCGAATTTTTTTTTTTTCAAATTGGTCAAATCAGAGTTTAGATTTCACGAGTTGGTTCAATTTGACTTTTATAGATACGGCAGCAATGTAGAATGTTTCAATTTAATACTATTCAATCTAAGTTACCACACATTTGTGTTGCACTACTAAACCTTCTTAGGCCCCGTTTGAGCCACATTAATATAAGAATGAGAATAAAAAATATAATTATTACAGACCCATACAAAAGATAAATTTTCAAAGGGAAGAGTTCACCAATCATGTGTTAAGTATGCATAATTCAAAATCCAGTTAAAAGTTTCATTAATGCAATGATCAAGTTTTCACTAATTAATTAAAAATATTTATTAAATAATAATAATAATAATAATAATAATAATAATAATAATAATAATAATAATAATAATAAAGTCACAATTATACAATTAATAGTCACAGATTCACAATTATAGGTCACAAATTTATTTACCGGTCGCATATTATCAAATTAAATGGTTCAGATTTTTTCAAGGTCACAAATCACAATTTTGATAGGTCACAGATTATGTCGAAATCACGAATTGAAAAATTATGGGTCACAAATCCAAAAAATTACAGATCACAGATCAAATATTTTCAAATTTGATAGTCACATATTACTTTTTTAATCATAAATGATCGAATTTTAAACTCACAGGTCAAATAGTCAATCACCACCACCAACTCCACTGCCACCACCGTCTCTTGCAACCACCCTCACCTCGTCGCCACCAACACCAACACCACGACACCACCACCCACAAAATAGTCGCTACCAGATCCATCGCCATCACCAAACACACTAAAAAAAACAACACCATTGCCGCCACAAGATCCACCATCAACCCTGTCGCCGCCAACAATACGGACATTACTACACTGCACCACACCGTACCACAACCACCATACAAGAAAAAACCCCAAACCCGCCACCTCCACCATCTCCACCCGCGTCGTCATCGCAAAAACCACCACCATCCCCGTTCATCACCATTACCAAGCCACACCACAAACCACCACCCACGGGCCACGACGTAACAAAAATCCCCAAACCCGTCAAGCCAGATTCACCTCCTTCCACATGATCATCGTCACCATATCCACGCAGAAGCCAGGCAAATGAAACGACGCTGAAACCCACGAGACCAAGAATCACCGCGATCCGTGATCAACGAGACCACAAATCATTGCGTGTTTATCGACGAAACTACATATTCGTGAGTAGAGGCGCCGACTCTAGAGTTGCGAGAAGTGTCGATTGCGACTTCGATGCAATCGGTGTCGAAAAGAGAGACGGTGGAGATGGCCCAAAACCACCGCCTGCAGATCGAAAAGAGAAAGGAGTTGCACGTGGCGAGCTGATGCGTTGCCTCCCATACCGACGCCAGTACCTCCTCATGCCGTCGGGCTCCCTTCGTCACCGATCGCACAGTTTAATTACTCGACGGCATTGAGCAGCGAGAGAGAGGATGGGAAAGCTTGTAATGGATGGGTGAAGAGATAAAGGTTTGAAATTTGAATTGGGTGGATTTAATTTATTAAACCTGGCATGTAAATAATCAAACTTTGAACCTGTTTTTTGAATTGTGATCTTTAAAGATCTGAAATTCTGTAATTTCCACATTTTCAAATATAGTGACTTAATGTGATGGATAACTGTCATATTTTTTATTTTAATGAGTAAATAATGGAAAACAAAAAGAGATTTATTTATTTATATATTTTTTATTATTATTTTTAATCATTCCCACGTAAAAACTAAAGCAACCTCACCACCCCAACGCCGTTCTTGAATGGATTTCCACTGGTATTAAATATATATTGCAGGGAATTCACAGACCAAAAAACCAAACTCCGAAAAGCAGTTTTCATCGAAGGTGCTGTTGAATGTGATGGGATTAACCTGACCATTAATTATCCTTTCCTCACACGCAGTAATTAATATTTCTCTTTGGCCAACGCTTTTCACCCCCCCAAGACACCGCCCCAATAATACTGTTCATATTTTGCATTAAGTGCCATCACTTTCTCCTCTCTCTCGCCATCTTGTCTGTTCTCTTCTATAATTTATAGGGTTAATTAGAAGAAGAGAGTTGAAACTAAGACTCCACAAAGAATACTTCTTGAGGTAAAAAGAAAGGGACCTCCTTTTTCTTGTTCTGTGATGCTTTCTGCCTGTTCTTCTTCTGCTTTCTTGATTGAAGATGGGATCATTTGCTGTTTTCTTCTGTTGGGTTAGAGTTCAAGTCTTTGATGGTTTTGGAGGGTTTATTTTATTTCTTTTTTGGGTTATTGAAGTTTTGCTATGATTTTTGACTCTTTTAATCTATAAATTCCGAGTTGTTAATTTGAGTTTTTATTGTAGCAGATGATCAAATAAATGGAATGTTTGCATTAATTGACGCGTTAATCAGTTGGATGAATAAATACACAATGTTAGCTAATTACATTTTAGATCTGTGGAAATGAAAATTATATTAATTCGAATTAACGTTTTCCTGGAAATTTGGAAATTGTTCAGATTTTTGCCCCTTTTTCTTCGTTTTATTTTATTTAAGAGCTTTTATTTTATGATTACTGATGTCATCATTTATTTTCTTTTTTGTGATGGGTTCTTTTTTCTTTACCTTTCAGTTGAGTTTCATGTTCATCCCGTGATAATTTTTGTTGTTTATTATTTAGTTGACTATATATACATCTCTATCTTCATTTTGGGGACAATTTGGTTTAAGTTTTCTCCTTTTGAATAGATTAAGATCATACTAGTTGAGATTTTCTTGACTTCCTTTTTATCCATTTTTGTAGGTAAGAATACGATGGTGTTCAAATGATTTCCTTTGTTTAATCTCTAGTTTCAGCTGAAGGAAACAACACAGATTTGAGATTTTGAAGATTCGAATCAAACTCAATTTTCATACTTGCATATTTTCAATTCCGGTGCAATTTCTGGGTTGTAATTTCCGATAAAAAAATGATGATGTTTGAGGATATGGGATTTTGTGGTGATTTTGACCTTCTTCCCTCTGCTCCCATCAAGAAAGTAGATGTTTGTGGTTCGGAGACAACTGAGCCAGAGCCGGTTGTGGAGGATGATTATACTGATGACGAGATCAATGCGGATGAACTTGAGAGGAGGGTGTGGAGGTATAAGATGCGACTCAAAAGACTGAAAGAAATGAATAAGGGCAAAGATGGCGTCGATGCTTCCAAACAACAGCAATCTCAAGAGCAGGCAAGGAGAAAGAAGATGTCAAGGGCTCAAGACGGAATCTTGAAATACATGTTGAAAATGATGGAAGTATGCAAAGCTCAAGGTTTTGTTTATGGAATCATTCCAGAAAAAGGAAAGCCAGTGAGTGGGGCGTCCGACAATCTTAGGGAGTGGTGGAAGGACAAGGTGAGATTTGATCGTAATGGACCGGCCGCCATAGCAAAATACCAAGCAGATAATTCAATCCTGGGAAAGAATGAGGGCTGTAATCCAGTTGGTTCTGCCCCTCATTCCCTGCAGGAGCTCCAAGATACTACCCTTGGTTCACTGTTGTCAGCTCTGATGCAGCACTGCGATCCTCCTCAGAGACGGTTTCCTTTAGAGAAAGGTGTTTCTCCTCCGTGGTGGCCCACTGGGAGCGAGGAATGGTGGCATCAGTTGGGTCTGCCAAAGAATCAAGGCTCTCCACCTTACAAGAAGCCTCATGATCTGAAAAAGGCATGGAAGGTGGGTGTTCTAACAGCAGTAATCAAGCACATGTCTCCTGATATTGCCAAGATTCGCAAGCTCGTTAGACAGTCCAAGTGCTTGCAGGACAAGATGACAGCAAAGGAGAGTATGACTTGGCTCGCTATCATCAACCAGGAGGAAACTTTAGCTCGAGAACTTTACCCCGACCAGTGTCCACCTTTGTCATCGTCTGGTGGGAGCGGAACCTTTGCCATGAATGATAGTGGTGAATACGACGTTGAAGGGGTCGATGATGAGTCTAAATTTGATGTCCAAGAGCAAAAGCTGAACCCAAACCACCTCGGTTTGCTGAATATTGGAACGGAGAGATTCAATGATAGACTTCCAGTTCAACAACAATCTCATGCAATTAAGGATGAATTCATCACTGACTTGGACTTCACCCGGAAGAGGAAGCCTAGCAATGAACTGAATGTCATGATGAATGACAAAATACATACGTGTGAGTTCCTTCAGTGTCCTCATAGTGAAATCTGTCTTGGTTTTCAGGACAGAAATTCCCGGGACAATCATCAACTCGCTTGTCCTTATAGACATTCTTCCGAATTTGTGGTTTCGAACTTCAGCATTGATGATATCAAGCCAGCCATGTTTTCTCAATCTTTTGTCAAGCCGAGGCCAGCTTCTTTGCCTGGAAATTCAATTCCACCTTCATTTGATCTATCAGGACTTGGAGTTCCAGAAGATGGGCAAAGGATGATCAATGATCTCATGTCTTTTTATGATAATAACGTACAAGGAAACAAGAACTCAATCACTGGGAACACCGGTGTCGTCAAAGATCAACCTCCTCAGCAACCCAGTATTCATCCTCAAAATGATGGGTGTTTTTTGGGTCGAGGTCCTCAAGGAATAATGTCTGAGAATAACCATTTTCAAGGCTCAAATATGCCCAATAATCATTCTATGCATTGTCCAGCAGCTGATCGGTTTGACCAGTTCAAGGTTATGAATTCTCCTTTGAACTCCTCCCCTAACGAAAACTTCCAAGTAATGTTCAGTTCTCCTTTCAATATACCATCCACGAATTACACCGAAACATTTCCTGGAGTTGCAATGGATAACCCGCCTGAGCAGGATGTTTCAATTTGGTACTAAGAAGATTGATTGTGGACATAAAAATCAACTGGTCTGAATTTGAGGTCCACAGACCTTCACACACAATGGTCTGTCCTGATCAGGTGGAATTTAGCGCCTATTATTCTCTTAGTTATTATGGCATTTTCCTTGCAATGTACTAGTTGTAGATGTTGAATGGATTAGGCATGGTTGCAATAAACAAGTGGGCATATGGTCCCCCCACCCACACCCCACCCAAGGAATATAATTATAGATGTTACATAAATAAGTTTAGTTTACTTTTGATTTGTCTGTGTTCTTGTACAAGTTTAAGGTTTGTGTCATTGTGGTTCACTGTCTATGGTGGCGTCTTTCATTAAACCTGTGTGTGGTCATTCCATTGTAATTGATGTATGACTATATGAGAAATAGTAATATTGGTTCATTTGGTTGGTTCCAAGTGGCAAAGTACTTTCATTTTCACATAATTGAGGTTGGATTTTTATAGCTTTTTTCTACTTAGTTGACCAAGTGGTGATAAGGTCATGCTTAACCATATTTAGATACTTCCTTCCCTACTTCCCCCTGAAAGAGATTTTTTGATCGTTTCCTTCCTTTTCTTTTTCTTTTTTTGTTATTAACTTTTAATGGATCGGCCCGTGTGGCTCGACGGGCCGGCCAGGCTCAATCCGAGTCAAATGGGGCTCTGTGCCTCCAAGCCTCAAGCCAAGCCGACTCAGATTTTTTCTAGGCTGAGGAATAAAGGCGATAGGTTCGACAGACGGGGTCGGAATGATCGCGGGGAGGAGTTGATAACGATCAAATTCTACTAATCTAATTAACCGAGCAATATTAAACAAAAATAAAGTAAAAAAACGTGTTCAACCATAACGAAGGCACTAAAATTTAGAAGTAGGTGAACTTATCGCAGAAGCTTAAACGAATCAATTTTCACACGAGGAAAAGTTTGTCTCTCGCGCCTCTCGTTTACAGTTTGCTATAAGCATCAAACATGAAAGAGAAGAGAAAATGGACACGATTTAAAGTTCAACACGTTCCCTCGTACGAAAATTATATTTTTAGTATTGATAAGACTTGAATTCAGATATATTATTCTAATACTTTGTTGACCACTTTAAGACTCATTATGTTAGAAAAGAATTACGTAAAATAGCTTCTTTTTCTGTTCCACCTGTAAGAAAATCCAAGAATCAAGCAGCTAATGAGACTATTTCAATACCAAAATTATGATTGAATTGCATTAGATTAAGCCCTAGTTTGGCCCCCATTTTCGGTAATGAAAATGGGGGGAATAGTATTTTATTGAAAAAATGAGTGGTTGAAAAAGAAGGAAAAATTTTCGATTTATGTGTAATATTATTTTATAGAAGATTGTGTGGTTAAAAATAGGAGAGAAAAAAATAAAATGTAATGAAATGTAATTTAATGGAATGGGGCTAAATGAATTGATCCTAATTGAATATTTTGTCTTCATCCTCGTGTCCAAGTTTATTAAATAAATTATTGCCCTCTTCATTTGGCGGCTTCTGATCTCAATGCTACTTTGTACTTTTCCCCTTTCTATCATGTTTGCAAACTCGCCAACTGCCCTCCTCCACAAATTAAAATTAAACGAATTTTATAAATACTAGTCAAAGTTAAATGTGCATTGCGCGTATTCTAAAATATTTTATAAGTGATGTAAAAGTAATATTTGGTACCAATTTATTGACGGATTTGATGAATCTCAGATGAATTAAAGAAAATAAAATTTAGCATAAAAAATTTAAGAGAATAAAATTACACTCAAATTATACTATCAAGACTCAATTTTTATGATTCAATTTTTTTGTAATGATAAAATACTATAAATGAATAATCTTTTTATATTACATTTGATACATAAATTTAAATATCCATTAAAATTTCTAAATACATGAATATGAATAAATTCATCTATAATAACATTATATTCATGTTAATGTGAATGTAATTAATTGAGAATTAATAACACAAATTTCATAAACGACAATAATTATGTAGTATTGTGGGAGGGTTAAAATCGTTCAAAAATTAATTCTTCCTTGATGTGATATTTTAATATATTATAGATAATTTAATATATAGAGAGTAAATTATTGGGATCCACGTGAAGGCGTCATATTTTTTAGCCTAGACATATGGTGGAAACTTTTGGTGACAATCGACTGTCGTGGAATCAAGTCTCTATTTGGTCTCCATTTTTTTTACAATTTATTACACATTTAATGAAATTCACAATTATTATCAGCTTTTTTAATCATATATTTTATTAACTTTTATCAAAATTTACTAAAAATTTAATTTTTATCCAAACCTAATAGGGGCTAAATGTCATAAAAAGTTTTAATATCACTTAACTATAGTTAAAAAACTATAAACTTAAATTATAATATAAGAATTTCAGATAGTTACTTTGACGTCGTGAAAAATAAATTATGAGACGACTTTCCTTCTTTTTTCGTAAAACGAATTGAAATAAACTATTTTTTTTTTCGAATTTCTTTTGAGTGGATATTATAGTTTTTCTCCCCTCTTCCCGCCTATTATAGCTTGTTTGGGAGTGATTTTTTTGTCCAAAAAATTGATTTTTTGACCGTTATTTTATTATTTCAATCGTCATATTTGATTTATTCTCTCACAAGTGGATCCCACTTTTCTCCTAACGGTTAAAAAATCAATCCTCAAAATCACTCCCAAACAGGCTCTTATTTTCTTTCCTTTAACCATAATTTTTTTTTTTAGAAAAATTCTACTTGTACATAATTATTGTACATAATGGTATTCATAATGTGATGTGGCAATTATCCAATTGTTGATGTGCAAGTATGAAATTTGAATTAAAGGTTGAATTCAATGCCACGTATAATTATGGACACCATTATATAGATAATTATGTACATGTAGCACTTCTCTATTTTTATATAAAAAATTGAAATTATCTCATCAAACCTTGTGAATAATGGCAGATGTTGACTCCGAAGTATTATAGTTATGATATTTAGATCATCTTTCAACAAGCAAAGACATGCTGAATATGATGTAGGAAATTATTTGACTTCAAACATGCCAACTGTTTTAATCATTTAACTAATAAATACAAGAAATCCTCAATTAGAAAATAATTATAATTAATTAATTCATTAATTAAATTAAACCAAACATGATAAAAAGATCCTCAACTATATTTATATATAATCGAAAAATTTGTAGTTTTGATTCCTAACTTGTGGTCTATGTAGCAAATTGGTCCTAATTTTTAGATCGAGACATTTTGATCCTCAACCATACATTGTTGTTATATAAGTAGTTTCCGATGATGAGAATTATCCCAAATTAAATTAACGTGTGATGTCAATACATGTGGAATATTGCACTCGAAGTAAATATGGGAACACAAATTTTGAAAAAAATAAAAATAAATAAATAAATAGAATGAATGAATAAGACTAAAAAGAAAAAAAAAAAATTCTTTATTTACTTTACAATCACTCTCACCTACATCTCCATCTCCATCTCAAACCACTGAGGATGGCAATGAAACAGGATGCGATTGAGGCTCGAAATTTTCAGGAGGCAGAGGGTTGGGGGGTTTAAGATTCATTGACTAACTAGGGAAATCTCGTCCCATTTGAGAAGGGACAACGGGGTTGAGGAAAGGTATGGAATTGAAATTTCTACAAATCTCTTGCCATTTGAGTGCCCGCTTTTTAGTTCCACTATCCACCATCAACTTCTTTCTTGTCCCTATCTTCCCCAATCCACCTCTCAATCACCATCCCAAACACCCTTAGTTCTCGACTTGTTCTCCGATATCGTCTCCCCCACTCCATTTCTCCACCTTGCATTTTGAAACACTGCCCAATTTTTGATTTTCTTTTTGTTGGATATTGGTTAAATAAATCGAGAATTGAAAATCGATTAAAGTGACTTCGTATCGACTTCGGGCAAATACTCAAAAGCTCGACTCAATCCGTTTAGGCAAAATTGTTTGCCACTTCGCCGTTTCTGGGCGCACAAACGGGGATCGACCTGTATCGGATGAATGAGAAATTACGAAAAAGGATGAAAATCAGTGAATAGACACCTTTTCATAAAGGTGCATTGTTTGGAAAGAGTGCATGGTTTGGCCTCAACCATTTCGTCCACACCCTTTCATGGTCTATAAATAGGACCCTTTGGGTGTCCTATACCACACAATTTGATATGCAAAACGTCTCTCATCCTCTCTTCTATCCAAAATCAAAATCATTTCATTTATTTTGATTTTCCTTCATTTCATTCTTGGAGTACATAAGTCTAAATTTGGTTCGTTGTACTTGTGTTTTGGAGTGCTACAAACACAAGTGTAGCCGTTGTATCTTGGGAGTCGATTGCCGAAATCTGTAGCCATCGTTGCGGGGCAAATTTGACTTAAGGACAAAGAGTCAAACTCTTGCCTCGACTTTGTCCCTACTTTCTTCTTCTTGTTGTTTACAAACCATCATTATACTTATTTTGGCGTCACTATTCACAAAATTCCTCCAACACTTTTATTGTTGCATTTATTTCTTATTAATTAAGAATGGTGATATAATTGTTTTTACAATAAAACTTAACTTTTTTATAATACACCCGACAATGATGGCAAAAGATACGGCCCATCGATGAAGGACCGATAATGCAATTTTTACGACATTATCCCATGTCAATAAGTGGGTGGTGGTAAAGTAAGATTTCAATTTCTGAGGACATTTTGGTCCATCTTTTTTGGTGTTACAAATCGTTATTCTATCAAGGGCTGACTTGTTCATGTCCACAAGTATAGGAGGCATACACCAACATTGCTAGCAAACGAACATGCTTAGCTTCTTGAAAGCTGTTTTTGAACGCCTAGACATAGTGTCCGAGAAATATGGAAACGTTTTCAAATAAAAAATATAATAATATTCTACAACGAATTTTTTCTCAAATTTCAATGGTGGTTAAGGACTCCACTGGCTCCCACCTCCCTTGGCAATTTTTTTTCTGAAATTTCAGTAGGTTTTCCTTCCTCCGTCCTTGATTGCCTAGACACTCTCCAGAATCATATCCACTATGAGAACAACTAAAAAAAAGATTGAACCCCAACTTTAAGGGTCTCCCACCGCCCCTGTCCTGGAGTATCGTGAGGGAGGTAAATCGCAGGTTATGCCTCCAAGGGTACAGGGTGGAAGGCTGCTTGTACACTTGCACTTACCCAAGAGCCAAATTCATATTTCAGGATTCGAACCCTAGATTTCATATTCGATAGATATGAAGATTAAACGAAAATGAATTCACAACTTTTTCTTTTCTTTTCTTTTTTTTTTTTTTAATGACGGAAAAACCCATAGTCGCTACCATTTGAATTTGCATTGAGTAAATCCTCGAGCTGATACAATAGCTTGCAAACTACG